AGAAATGTAATTGGATTATTGATTCATATCGACCGTTTCAATTTATTTGAAAATAAAAACGTTTTGTTTGTTTTGAAAATTTTTTTGATCTATCGGTACATAAGCAAAATGCATGTAAAATTATTTCATGAATATTATTGAGACATTACGGAATTATATATCAATAGTATGCTTCCCTGCTATTTGAAAGAGTGGATTTATGTTTGATGAGATCCTTGTTAATGTTGGGAAGCGTTTGATGAGATCCTTATTTTGCGTTTGATGAAATCCTTCTCTTATGTTTTATGGGATTCTTCTCTTACGTTCGATGACATCCTTTTAATGTCGAAAAAACGTTCGATAAAATCCTTCTTTTGCGTTTTAGAACCTTACCGATGTGTCATGGCCACAGGTGCGGAACTACAGAATTTGATAGGAGGGTCAAATAGAAAACAAATTAATTTGAATTTTCAAACTTTAAGGGAACCAAATTACAATTACATAAAATTTGAAGGTAATATTTCAAATTTTTGAGATCTAAAGGATCTTATGCCCCCAACTAAACTCATATTTTAGATTTTTCGCACGTGCAATTAACTACTCCTGCAATCATTAATAATATTATTATTTAGACCGAATTTACTAATATAATTTGTTGAATTAATTCATCATAATCACTGAATTTGAGTAGCGAGTTCAAAATAAATACTAGAAATCACTATCAATCTAATAGTAGTAAGTGATTAGATCAATAAATTTAATCAATAAATTATATCGAAATAATGAATTTGTTTGAAGCTGATTTTTTTGGGTGCAAAACAAATGTTTGAAAAGTGAAATAAAAAAATTAGAATTAAAAAAATTTTGAAACCGTTTAAGAGTGTTTCCAAAAAGGCCAATTTTTACTTGAAAGCCCTTTGATAAGTCTCATTTTTAAGTTTTTCATTGGTGCTGATAAAGTTATTTTTTCCTAAAATATTGATTAAAAAAAAAAAAAAGCTGTCCAAAAAGCCCAATTCCAAATAAATCGGATTTTTTTTCCTAAAAATAAAAAAATTGAAATTTTAAGTCAGGTACGGACTGAAACAATTTACTTTTTAAAAAGCCACTTTACAAGTTTTTGTAACCCAATGCCTGGCCATGCACAAAAAGGTTTTTGGCTCGATCTTGCCGGTTTTGATACAGAAGAATCCATGTTACTTTAGAAACATCAGTGAGGTTTTTTGACATGATGAAGGGACCCATCAAACTCTGATTCAATGAAACCCTTATTATTGCTAAAGAAAAGAAAGAAAAAAATAAGGCTGTTATGCAGTGTTTGTCTAGTCTCTTCAACTTGCAAAATGACAAACAATGGAATTTCCTAATTTGAATTTATATGGGTAAATCTTTAAAGTTCAAAAACAGGATAAGGATATAGTTTAGACATCATAATAACTCTTGACAAGTTTTATTATTTTATTTTTTTAATAATAAATGACTATTAATAATTTAAATCAAGATTTAAGAATAAGAATTATTTTTCGGTACGTTAACGAAATTTTTTTTTTTTTTGATATGGTAGCTACTGCTATCTTTTGTTTTTTCTTTCTTTTTGGTTCAACTATCAAGGGTATCCATGACAACTTATGAGAATCTCGATTAATCCACTTATTGATACGGTTAAAGGTAAGTCATCCACACTTGAATTAAAATATTCATAATGAATAAATCTCTCGTGGACTGGTCAAGGGAGTGTTATCTTTAAGGATATAGCTAGACATATCTATATAATAAATCAGATAAATGTTTAAACTTATGGGGAATATATTTTTTCGCCCAAATTTGATACACCCTACACGCTTTTTCTCACAAATTTCAAAAACTCAACACACACTTCACAACACACAACTGCACATAAATACACACACTCCAACACATACATTCTAATATATGTATAGTTTTATTATTCAGTGTACAGTGACTTTAGTGATAGGGTATCACTAGTAGGTGAATATAAAGAGATTCGGGGACCCCATGATTCATGTTAAAGCAATGTAGGAAGCCATTACTGAAACCCTACATGTATAACGCTGAACAAGGGCGAATTGTAGATTTACTGGATTTCTTCAGGCTCATTTGAAGGTCTGTCTCCACAACACCACAGCATGGTGGGAGCCATTTGACGTGTTAACAGTGCTACTATTACCTGTTCGAAAGTTTTTTAGATCAATTCTAATATTTTAAGATCAATTCTTAGTTCTTTAGGATTCTATTAAGTCAAATTCAGAATTTTTTGAGTAAATCTCAATATTTCAGAATTGATACCAAGTACTTTCTGCAACATTCTCAATTTTAAGATTTCATTGAGTCATTTATTTTAGTTGTAACCTGATCTTCTTGGATACCGTATATTTTTATTTTAATATAAACAATCATAAAAGGATTTTTCAGAAAGAAATATACTATTATGAAATTAATGATCGAGCGTTATGAATGAGAATTGGAACTGTGCATGTCTAAGATGTTGATTTGTACTTATAATGTCATTCTTGTACAAGTCAGATAATATGGAGCATGATGGAGCCTGGGAGAAAAAAAAAATTAGGGTTTAGTGTTCCCACCACGGTTGAAGAGAACTCGATTTAGATTTTGTCAATCCTTTTGGCTTCTCTCTATGTCTATTAACTAAAATGCTGATGATGAGAAACCCAAAATAAATTACATTTGGCCCAGAAGGAGCTACAATTTGTTGATTAGGTCTGAATCAACTACTAATTGATTACAGGTACAAGTCTTATACAGTCCTACCCTCGGTCCCAACCCTTCGTCTGTTCTATAAAAAAAAAATGATAGTATTATCCTCTTGTTCAAAGAAAAAGGAATAAAAGCTTTCAGCATTTATTGGGCTTCTAGAAGGTTTTTAAACATTATTAATGGTTGATGCTTCAATAATTATACTATAATGAACCATATTATCTAGAGAAAGAAAACACTCGAATTAAGGTACTAACACTGACCAAGTTATGCTCTCTTTAGTGATCTAATCAGTCACAGAATCTAAATTACAATATTAATGATACAATTTTCAAAGTTTGCCAGTTGGGTTTGGATTTTCCTTCAATTTTTTTAGCTGGGGAATCGAAAAACTTAACGAAGATCAATATAGTAATGGTCATGAATGGGATGATAACATTACTCTATGTAAAAACAATTGCAGTCTCATTAACATAACTTAATTCCATAGAAATCGAAAGCCTTGAAACCCTAGAGAGTAAAGAATGTTTTATTGAAAAAAGGGCCTATGTTGAAAATAGTTGCTCTAACAAATAACAATAGGAGTAGTTGAAGTTGAACACAGTAAGCAGACAGGACCCTTGGGAAAGCAAGGTAAACACACACACAGTCTTCGTCGTTGATGATAACCGAGTGGCCTCTTTGTGTGGTCACATGGATTCCCCTGCTCCTGCAGACGTCCCTCTCTCTCTCTCTCTCTCTCTCTCTCTCTCTCTCTCTCTCTCTCTCTCTCTCTCTCTCTCTTTCATACACACACATAGACACAGACCTTTTTTTCCAGATCTCACTAGAATCTCTGACCTATACACTATCAACTTTTCGTCATCATCTTTCTTCTTATGCAGTCTCCGACCATATTATTATCAAATGAAACAAAGCTTGCACATGATTTGGGGCACGTCTTTCTATTCAAAACAAAGCTCCTATTTCGTGCAAATACATAAAGTGACGTAGCTACCCTTTAACCTATTCATTTTTTCGGTAAGTTACCCTTTAAACTATTCGATGCAATAAAACTGATGAAGGATATGACTGTCCTTGCATGTGATTTCTATCTTGTTCATCGAGTTATTCACCAAAGGCATGCCCCACCCCAATTTTTTTTTGTAAAATAAGTTATTTTTAAATTTATTTCTCAAATTCAATCACTTTTAAAAAGATATTATTTTAAATAACACTTTCATGAATTAAAAGATTATTTGAAATGATGTTTTTAAAGACATAATTTGGCATGACGCCTTTAATGCACTACACATCAAATTTAGTTCAATATTTATATTTAGTGCGTGAAAAGCGTTATATTTAAACGTCTTTTAAAAATGATTAAGTTTAAGAAATAAGTTTAAAAGTTATTGATTTTAAAAAAAAAAAAAAATTTTGAAGTGCATGAGTTTGGTGAATTTCTCCTTGTTCACAGAAAGCATATATGATACCAAAATCAATGGCTCCACGTATTCAATAATCCTTTGCCCAATTTTTCTTGTATTTTCTATAGAATACCTACGAAGCATTATAGTGAATTCACTAATCCAATGATGTAAAAGGGCTAATGAGAAAAAAAAATAGTTAAAAATTGATAAGTAAGGCCTTATTAATGCTATCAAATTATGTAAAGTGACGACACATTATTATACCAACAAATTATATTCAAAATTTATATTCAAATAACATTGCTCTATTATTCGAAACATGGCATAGTCATCTATAATGATCATATCATGTGAGAGTGAGATACCATCAAAGCTTAATTAAATTGCATTTCAGAGAACTCTCTCTCTCTCTCTCTCCCTCTCCCTCTCCCACTCTCAGTCTATATATATATATATATATATATACAAACACACACTATTGATTAATGAAAGGTCCAACGTAGTATATCACGTGCTGCACGGTATAGCTTTGTTTGATTGAGAGTCATTATAAGAGCTCGAACATGCTCAACTAGTTAGGTAAAAAAAAGCCTAGTCTGTTTGATCTTCTGGGTATGTAGTGTTTGGGCTCATGCTTCAACCTTTCCTTTTGACGTGGGTTTCTCTCCAAGGAACAGTTATCAGCTTTTAACCACCTTCTTCTTCTTCTTCTTCTTCTTCTGGGCCCTTCAATCAATTTTCTTGGTCTATTCCCTAACCATTCCCACATATGTTTGTCGACATGTGAGGGAAAGAAAGTAATAGACTAAACACACAAAATCAAAGTTGTATGTGTAGAGAGAGAGAGTGAGAGTGTTTGAGTGAAAAGAAAAAAACATGGCACTAGACACTGTGGTTTACCCTCAAGACTCACTTGGTTATGACTGCAAGGAGTTCTTCTACAACTTGGGTGGAGCTACTGGTCTGGGATATAACTTTGGTTTACAAGAAGACGACAAAGATCTCGATGGATTAATCATGAACAACACTATTATTGAACAAGGTTTAAATGGAAACTGGGTCGACGACTCATCTTCTTCAGTGATGCAAAATGTGAAGGAATGGGATCGATATTCGTCGCCTGAAGCTTGCACAGGTGATCATTTATGTGGGGAAACGTCACCGGCTATGAAATTCGGCCGGCGAAAGAGGCGGCGCACCAAAAGTTGCAAGAACAAAGAAGAATTAGAGAACCAGAGGATGAATCACATTGCTGTTGAGCGTAACCGTCGCAAACAGATGAACGAATACCTCGCCGTTATCCGATCTTTCATGCCGGCTTCTTATGTTCAAAGGGTTAGAAACTTCCACTAAACAATCTATTTTAACTGATTAATTGTTTAATTTACCTTGATCTTAGCTTATACTTTTAATAATAGAAATTAGTATTTTCTAGAGGTACTTTTTAAATTTTTCTTATTCATTTACTAAACAAACTAACTGGGAGCGACCGGGAGAGCCCTCTCTTCCAAATATATATATTTTTTACAGAATTTTAATTTTATTAAAAAAAATAAAATATGTTATTCAATCAAAATCCTCTACATAGATAGATGTTAACCACTCATCCCAATTACATATTCTATAACAATAATACTATTTAAACATAATTTACGGACATAATTCATACCAATCATTGAATTAGTAAAGTCTTTCGAGAAATAATACAACTCACTATTAATCTAATGATTTTGACAATGTCTCACTATCTATCATATTTTTATAACTTCCAAACTTCAAGAAAAGATTCACACTAAAGATTTCTTTTGATTATGTATGTCTTTGTGATTATTTATATTCCCATGGATGGGGACGGTAAAACGGGATAAAAATGTTAATCCCATGTATTGAGGGGACAGCTAAAATTATTCTTGCTTTTAAAATGAAAAATGAAAGTTGTGACAACTAAAAAGTCACATTCCAGCAGCTGATAGGATGATATGCTTAGGAATTATTCGCTTTTTGTTTCATTCCAAAGCAAAAAATGAATAGTTTTTGTTTTTTTTTAACTTAGAAATGATTAGTTAAAGACTTTAATTTATTATTTTGTATGCTTTTTTTCTTTTTTTTTTTTTTTTTTTTTGGGTTTTCCCGGGAAAACTAATAGTGAATGTTATTTTTAGGGTGATCAAGCCTCAATAATTGGAGGAGCCATCAATTTTTTAAAGGAGCTAGAGCAGCATCTTCAAACCCTGGAGGCCCAAAAGAGAATTATTTCACAAAACAACAATGGTTCCTCTTCACTTTTTGCAGATTTCTTCACCTTCCCACAGTACTCGACAAGACTTCACCCTAATAATTCACCGGCAACAGCAAACGATCCAACGGTGGAGAACCGATTGGCTTTAGCAGACATTGAAGTGACCATGGTGGAGAGCCATGCCAACCTCAAGATACTCTCAAAGAGACATCCCAGACAGCTCTTAAAGTTGGTAGCTGGGCTTCAGTGTTTATGGCTCACTGTTCTACACCTCAACGTTACAACGGTTGACCAACAGGTTCTCTATTCTCTCAGTGTAAAGGTTAGTTGATGAAGCAAGGGCCAGTATACTTTTTTTTTCTCTCTCTCTCTCTCTCTCTCAGCTTTACAATTTGGAAATGACAATTGAAAGTTGTCTTTAAATGTCAAGTTATATATTTTCAAAGAAGAAATTAGTTGTCTTTAAACTATTTTAAAAGTGAAATTACAATTATTTCATGATCAATCACCTCAATAGTTGTAATTTCACTTAAAATAGTTAACTTACCCTTAAAAGTTATATTTTTAATGATCAATCATAATATTTATAATTGGTTATGAGTTTTGATTTCTTACTCAGACCTTCAAAAAAAATTATAATTTAATCTTAAAAAATTATAATATTCGATACGGTATCTCCTCAATAACCTAGGTGTTCCTTTGTAATTTTTGTTCTCATACACATCCCTTGGTATCTGTTCAAATTGAGACAGCTTGAAGATGGGTGCCAGCTGACTACAGTAGATGAAATTGCGGATGCTGTTAATCACTTGTTGGGCAGAATTCAAGAAGAAGCTTGTTTAAGCTGAAACCCCTTTTTTTTTTTTTTTTTTTTAATTTATGTATTTTATCTTTTTCTGAATGTCCTTTTCCTTTTTTTTTTTAAATTATTGTGTACAAACTTCTAACATTGCTGTCACTGCCTTTTAACATTCCCATTAATCTTCAGTCTGTTCAATTTCAAAATGCAATCCTTATGAGCAACATACTGTAATCCTACCTTTTTGTTTTAGAATAATGTTGTTTGAATCTAATATGTTAACCTAATTCATCACAATAATGAACAATGTTATTGAAACCTAATTACTATAACTCTTGGATTGACTGTGGATCCAAAAAAAATTAGAATTTGGTATTAATTCAATAGTTATAATAAAATCACATTATTTGGTCATTAAATTAGGTCATATTTTTATGCATCAATATCATTACTCATATACAATTAAATTGGTTGTAGGTCCCAATAAATATTAGTACCCATTGTCAATATAATAATTATAAATGATTACGTCAACAAATTAAGGTGGTGTTTGGTAACCACTTGTTTTTGTTTTTTTCTTTTTTGTTTTCATTTTATGGCTAAAAAAATAAAAATATGTTTGGTGAATATTTTTGGTTTTTTTTTTAGCATCTCCGTTTTAAAAATAAGGCTAAAATATTGAAACATCCAAAAAAAAAAACACACGCACGATTTTTAATAAGGTCTTGGCTAAGATCCTCCTTAGCAACAAAAAATGAATTTTTTTGCTAGAGTATAAAAGGTCATCTATGTTTCAGGTTTCACCTCTCTCTCTCTCTCTCTCTGCCAACGACGAAGACAAAGCCGAAGCCATCGCCAATTGCTGAAAAGCCATTACTTCATCTCCAAGCTCACTCCATCTTCATTTCACTCCATTTTTTTAGTTCTTTGGTCTCTCTTGACTCTCTCTCTCTCTCTCGCCCTTCTTTGATGGTAGGGTTTCTAAAGTTGGGTGGTGGATTTTGCTGAGGAGTTTCAAGGGTGGATTTCTAGGGTGTGTAGTGAGTTTCGGTGGTTATGGTGGTGGGGGTAGGTTGTGGGTTTCGATGGTTGTGCTTTCGGTGATGGTGGGGGTGAGTTTCGATGGTTGGATTGGGGTTGAGTTTTGATAGATGTGGTGGTAGGTTTCAATGGTTGTGCTGATGAGTTTCAGTTGTGGGGTTTCAGTGGTGTTAGATGGTGGGGTTTCAGTGGTGAATTTTTAGTATAATATCAAACATGTTTTTTATTTTTTTTCATAATTTTTTAAATATAAATGACTATCAAACATGTTTTATATTTTTAATTTTTATCATAAAAAAAAAACAAAACTTAGTTTCTATTTTTTTTATTAAAAAAATATAAAAACGAAAACGCTACCAAATGTACTTTAAATATCATCGCACTTCCTTTTAATGCTGTACTTTTGCCATTAATTTCTGTTTGAAAAATTGAAATAGAAAGCTAACAGCAGAATAAGACCACTATCTAATAATATACAACAATGATGTTAAGATGGCCACCATAAATTTAGAGGCGATGATTAATTTTATGTTTACGAAATTGCAAGTGTCGAAAAGCCGAATCATGGTATAATTTCCTGACTAAGATTTTTGAATAACATGATTATTCAACTTGACTTCTTTGAGTAGGTAATCTTTTTTCCAAACCGTAGATCACCTCATCATTATGTTTTTAGTTAATTTCACTAAATTATACATCACATGTCATGTGTAGACGAGAAATTCACTTATAAATCAGCAATCTCAGTTAAATTCATGACATACGATCAACAATTGACAGAAATTAGAAAAAAAAATAATAATAATTTGATGGATGGGATCTCATTAGTCTTTCGCTTATGTGAAAAAATTTACACTGTAACACTATTTTCTCTAAAGACCAAAAGTTTTTGTATGTGTATGTATGTACGCTCGTTTTTTTTTTCTTTATTATTATTATTATTGTTATTATTTTGTATTTTTGAAATGTATATGTGATAAGAGTGAAAGGGAATTTTTTATGTTGAAAAATTACTCACTTTCAGCATCCTAATGGTCATTAGCAATTAATTGGTGGTACCCTTGAAATTCCACACCAGATTAGAGAGGATTTAACGTAATTTTGAAATCATAAAGGCGGGTATTTCTTAAAATCTTTATAAACTATAGGGGGGAGATTGTAATAATTAAGCACGTTTATTTCCAAAATGTTCTCTTCTATTTTCACAATTCCTTTTTTTTTTTGATTAATAGATGTTGAATGTTTTAATATATATGATTGCTGGGCCAGCTATGCCACTAAAAAATTACTTTGGGAGTAGCGTATCTTTTTTTTTCATTCAATTATAATGTGACAAGTGTTAAATAAAAAATTTTATTGCTATCTTCTGACATTTTAAAATACTTAATTTAGTGTATTCAAAAAGATCAATGACTTAATATTTAATAACCATTTAAGATATAATGACATGGATAAGTGTCGATTTTACTGATGATGAAGACACTTGTTAACAAGTCACTTTTTTTTATATAAAAAAAAATTACAAATATGATTTATGTCAAAAGCAATTCATTGACTTATAATTCATTTTTATTATGGTATCATGTAAAACTATTATTTGCAACCATAATTTATTTATAGGCATAAGCTTACATTATAAAAAAAAAAGAAAAAAAAAAGTGGACGATAATATCGTCACAAACAAATTTTAATGATGGCATAAACTAATATTTGGATTTTGTGCTCAAAAATAATATTTTCGATAGCATTGCATAAAAAATAATTCTAACAAGTTCTTTATAAATAAAAATTTGTCATTAATAATAACTGTTGAATAATCTCATTGAATTAAATTTTTATTTATGTCATTATTAACCCTCTCAAAATAAAATTTTGGTTCAATTCCGATCCCAATCAATAACACAATCTGGTTGATGTAGTCTTTCTCAATGGATTTATAAACCAGAAAGCGTCAAAATAAAGAATTTTATGTTTTTTTTTTCTTTGTTCTTGGTGGATGATAATGAAAACCGTGATGAACCCTACCGACAAGACTCAAGCATTGTACCATTGACACCATGGTCATTGGTGCATGGTTCGAACACATGCAAGATTAACACACACACACACACATACACATTGGGATGGGGGAGAGAGAGATGCCAAAGTATATTGGCAGGGAGATTCTTTCTCGTGCTTTCCCCACGACATGATTGATAAAGTGCATGTTCGAGGCAGCAACCTTGAAGTTTCATGAATCTAAATCATTCTGATTTAGAAAAACAATTATAAGCCCATGAAAGGAGGGCACGTTATTCCAAACATCATATCAATTTTCTTTTTCTTTTTTTTTCCTCTCTTTTCATGACTTTCGAAAAAGCATCATTCCGTTGTGTGTTTACATTGTTAACACAGCTTTTGAGCTCTTTAAGTTAATTTATTCATATTTTGATTATTTTTTTTTAATTCAGTCAAAAATATGTCATTTACGTTAAAATTAAGTTATTCATGAAGAATAAAATTTCTTACGATCTAATTTTAAAAAAAAATTAATAAAATTTAAATTTAAAAACATTTTAATTTATGAATAATTTTTATTATCACTTGAACTCCTTGGTGTTTGTTTTTTAGGGTTGTCCAAGAGCTCGTAGTAATGAAAATGACCAATGAAACGACTTAAAGTTTCACGTACAAAACAGAAAAAGTTTCCGAAAGGTGTTCTTCTTTTTGGTCATTCTGAGCTCTCTCTCTCCAATTAAGCATTTCCACATCCATTCATATTGTCACACATGCATATTCACCAGTGTAAGGCTGCAGTACCATAAGGAAATTTAGTTTTGCGGACATAAATTTTTGTGGAATAATAAATTGAATAGAATAAACAAAATAGGAAAACTTTACATATAACATATCCATATAGATTTAAAAAATAAATTTTAATACCAAAAAATAATTTTTCAATATTATAGTTGAACTAATAAACATACTCGTCATTTTTGTAAAATTATAATAGCAATCTCTAATAATCTTTGTCTTGCAACCCATGCAACAAACAAAAGTACATATATATGAACTCTTTATATTATATATGTCACGTCTTTCTTTAACAGCTAAGTTTTTTAAATAGATGGTAGTTCAACATATGATTTTGCAACAGTAGCTTCGCCATCAATCGATCATTCCATCAACAATTGGAACATCAATCCTTTCAATCTTTAAACTCACCAAGCCAAATGAACAATTAGACTTTTAGCCAAAAAAATAGTCTTCTATAAAGGTGCCTTTCTGAAGGTAGGAAATCAGTGCTCGATCTTTTAGTTTCTTGTGGTAATTTTTTTTATTAAAAAAATAAATATGTTACATTTCTCTCCAACAATTTAAGTTTATAAAATAGATAATAGTTCAACGCTTTATACACGATACCATACATTGCAACCACTTCTTTCGAGTCAGCAAGAGTCGGTAGTTTATTTCATTCTCTAAATGTAGTGCTCATTAAGAAAATCACTCCTTTGTCTCACCTTTTGAATAAGATTAGATATGGAAAACAGATTCTCAAACCTTATTTTATGATCGTAAGTACATAAAACAAGTTTTATTCTGCCAAAACATCTATAAACAAGCTAGAATGGCTCTCATGGGACCTAGGTAATAATTGAGATCCCTTCAATGCAGACAAGAGACAACGCAGGAGGCTTGAAAATGACGTACTTATTGCACCTAACACTACCATTGCTGCAAGGGGGATTTTTTAAAACATCCAAATAAACTACAAGAAAAAGAGTTGAGGATAGTGACAATACCTACTTCAAGAGGAAAAGAAGCCGACGGAGTCATCAACTAAATTTTATAGTATGTGTCAGAGATTCCCTTTAAGCAATATTGTTGAGAATTTGCGTGATTCGATAAAATTATTTTGCCTACATTCACGAGACATAATTCAATCTTTTTTTTTTTACTATTGAGAAAAAATTGGTACAATGGTACAAACCTCACCACGAATAAGTTTAAATCTCAAACTCAAGCCCT